ATCACTGCCATGGCTCTAAGGGTGGGCTTTTGTCACCCCCAAAAGGAGAGTCATTTTGCCGCTCTTTTGGGAGTGGCAGAAAAAGAAGGATTGGGGCATGTGGAAAGGTTCAGCACAGCCAGAGAGAATGAGAGAAAGGATATTTAAAGGTATTCAATTAATTGTTGAAGAACATATATTAAAGTATTGGAAAACCTTGACAAGGTAAATCCTGGATTGAAGAGAATATTTACAGTTAAGACTTATTCTTTGTAAAATCCACACTTTAAAAAAAAATAGAAAGCAGCAATTTACGTGCAGGAAACAAAATATTTATTTATTTATTTATTTATTTATTTATTTATTATTTTGTATTATTTTAGCACTTTTAAAGGGAGTATCTGCCAACCAATGGAAGCCATTTTGTATTGGCAGCTATTCCCACACTCAGCAAAAATATTTTACAGTATTTGGGACATGCTAGTAGATCAAACTGAAGGGGAGTGCATGTGTGCAAATGTGTGAAACAAGATTGGGGGAATAAGCTCCCCTTGCCAGTAGTTCCAAATGTAGCAGTTAAAAGAAAGAGGAGAAATGAAAGGGAAACAGGAATAGCAACATAGACATAAGTGAAACAGGCTTGCATCTGATGAAGTAGACCCAGTGTATGAAAGCTTATCCTACAAATTTCTTTCTCCAATTAGTCTCAAAGATGCTACAAAATCCCTTTGCATACTGATAGAGTCTAACATCACTATGTGTTTGAATAAAAATACCCTTCATTTTATTTATTTTTTCCCTTTTTTATTTATTGCACAAAAAAGCAATTTAATACAGTCACAAATATATACAGAAGAGAAACTTATACATGTTTACCAGGAAAAATATTTAAATAAAATATGTCCCTAAGAACTCATCAGAGCACAAAAGTAAAAGTAAACTTCATTTTAAAGGAAATGTGTTTTTACATAATGAGTTATAAAACAAAATGATTTGTGTGCGTGTGTTTTAAAAATAATAACCTTGCAGACTCTGACATACAGATTACTGAAAGATCAAAAGTGCACAGGCCAAGATTTTGCATCTAGGAGACAAAAACTTAATTTTATGCACACTGTTATGTTGGGATTTTGCAATACCACCTTGTTAGTGGATTATGACTAGGTACAATTAAATGTGCAATGCACAACTATGTGCAATTATGGACAATGCATGAGGTACATCCATGTGCAATGTCATCATCTAACAAACTTGACTTTCTTGAACTGAATATGGATATTCCACATTGGGCAAAAATGCCCAACTGTTTCCATAAAGAACTTAACACATGTGCAACACAACAACAAGATTTCTGTTATAGCCATTGGGTCCTTCCCTGATGACAAATTTTAAACATAACTGGTGCTATGTCATTGTTGTTATTGTTGTTGTGTTTATTCAAGTCATTTACAACTTAGGGTGACTCTAAGGCAAACCTGTCATGGGGGTCTTCTGGGTAAGAAGTTTGCCATTGCCTTTCCCTGGGCATGTGACTTGCCCAAAGTCTCCCAGTGGCTTTCATGACCAAGAAGGGAATCAAACTCTAGTCTCCAGAGTTGTAATCCAATATGCAAACCACTACACTATACTGGCTCATCAATGTCATATTTACAGAGTTATTGTGTGATAAAGCTATCATGAAGAATGCTGGTACACATATTGGAAAGTGATAGACAGATTAAGATACTACATAAAGAATTAAAAGGATAGCAAAATCATGTAATTTGTAGCAATGGGCCCAAAATACAAGAAAGCTAGCTGGCACTATTTGGTGTGGGCGGGGAACAGGATGCCTCACTCCATCAGGACATGGCAGGGAAATAAATGCAACCATCAACTGTGTCTCCAGCATGTGCCTTGAAGCCACTGGCATTAATTAAGATTCTATGGCTTGCAAACAATTATGACATAATTAAAGTAAGATTCTTCCTACAGTAAAACAATAAGAAATGACTTTTAGAAACCGTGGGAACTATTAAAATTGTGCATCAGGACCAAAATGAGCAATATTTACTAGTATTAACACTATTAACACTATTAACATGGCTTTTGAAGACAAACTTAGGCTATTATTACTCAGAAAGACATCCACATTTGAAGATATAGAGCATCACTAATTAAATCTCTTTTTCTCTCTCCTTCTCCTTCTCTAGTTATGTTTGGGGTGTTTGACAGAATGGCGCCTTTAACAGAATCTATTTTAATGGCCTTGAATTAGCACGACTTCAAAGACAGAGAGCACTTAGCAGGAGGTTGATATCTACTGGAAGAGCTTTATTAGTAGTAGTATTTTAAAGGTCATGAAGTTGCATTTAAAATCTTTTTTTCTGGCACAAAAACACAGGCGCTCAAGTATTTTAATATCTTGAATTCTGGAAAATTGCATCAGTGTGCCAAGGAACACTAAACAGATGCCATTTAGTGGATCTTTTAACTCACTCCCTGCAGTTGCTGCTTCACTACTTTAATACTGTTCATCTTCTGCTGGTGGAAGTGGTGGTGATGATTTTGTGTGTGTGTGTGTGTAGTGTGTTATTATTCACTGAGATGCAACATTGTAGATATGGATTTGTAACCTAGAGTTACAGATCTGGAGTGGTCTGTATTGAGAAAGACTATCTAATCTTAGTGGAAACACATGTAAATGGCACCTGAGCCCACCTTAAGAGCCAGCAGCTCTTACAGTGGGCCGGAGGAGTAAGATGAAGAGATGTCACTCAGTTATGAGTCCTTAAGTAGCCAATCTAGGACACTGGTAAGACTTTTTTTCCCTAGCTAATATTAAAGTGCTCAATTTTAGGTGCTCCATGAATAACCCAACAGGGAAAAAAATGCCTGACATTCCAGGATAGACCAATATCATATTACATGCTGGCAGAGTGTAACGTTCTACCATAATACTTATCTAGGATGTCCAGGTGGGTGATGACTGCCAGTGTAGCAACTGTACAAATGAACTCTCCTTTCAGCTAATATTTTCAGCTAATCAGTGGCCATTGGGATCAAGATTGTGGATCTGTGCTTGGCTCCTATTCTGCTGTCCTGTCTTGTTCCATAGCCTGGGAAAATCCATTGCACATGGAGGTACTAGATACAAGTACCTCTTATGCATTCTTATGCATACATATGTTGGAAATGCTTCTCCAAAGAGGAAAAGCCACATTTATTTCAAGGTTGTGGGAGTTCTGGTCTCAGGACTAAAGACTCATCTTTAGAAAAATGACTCTCTCTCTCTCTCTCAGTCATGTTGGCTTTTCCATGCAAAAATTAAAGGCTACTTCCTGGAGGAAAATAAATGTATATTGTGACAATATGACAAAAGGTTACCATTAATTCTGCTCTAAAGTAAATTTCAATGAGAAAGCTGCTGTTGGTTGGCTTGAATGAGCAGCTGACATTATGTATTGGCCTTTGACATGGCAATGCATATGTCATCTTTGACACCCAATTTTAGAATTTCACTTCAATATTGATAGTGCTGAAACCATTTTAACAGTGCTGAAAATCCTGATTCACAAACACATACAGCAACAAATGGAGTCAAAGCTTTTTTTTTTTTTTTTTTTTT